GTTTGGCTCAGTGGATAGAGCGTCAGCCTTTGGACTGAGAGGTCCCAGGTTTGATTCCGGTCAAGGGCATGTACTGTGGTTGCAGGCACACCCCCTGTGGAGGGTGTGCAGGAGGCAGCTGATCGATGACTCTCATTGATGTTTCTAACACTCTACCCTCTCTCTTCCTCTCTGTAAAAAATCAAAATATATTTAAAAAAAAAAAAAAAGTACAGACTATAAAGTGCTATGAGATACAAGGGAATGTGGAAAGTTCTTTGAGAAGGCTATTCAATTCAAGGTGGAAGTACCAGCTTTATCCTCAGATGGACCCTATCTGATGGCTCAGTGGGCTGGAGTGTTGTTGCTGGTTTGATTCTCAGGCACCTGCCTAGGTTGTGAGTTCCATCCCCATTGGGGGCATGAATGGAAAGCAGCTAAACAATGCTCCCATTACTGTTCCTCTGCCCTCTGACCCTCCAATCTCCTCACCCCCTAAAATTTAAACAATATACACACAAGGGGAAGAGGGAGAAGGGGACCCTAATATCGTGTTTCCCTGAAAATAAGACATCCTCCGAAAATAAGACCTAGCGCAACTTTGGGAGAAAAAATTAATATAAGACACTGTCTTATTTTCGGGGAAACGGGGTATAAGGTGACAGGAGATTTGACTGAGTGGTGGGCTCATGATATAGTATTCAGATCTTGTAATACAGAAACCCATATGTGAAATCTATGTGATCATGTTGACCAATGTCACCCCAATTAATATGTTAAAACACATCCTTAAGTGAGGATTTAAAAAAAAGAGATCCTCAGGTGGTCAGAAGCTTAGTGTTGGAGAAAGCAAATGACTGACAACTGAAGAGTAGCAGGCCTAGGGGAGGGGTTCTCTGGGCATTGGAAGTTGGGACATGTTCAGTAGTGGTGAAGCTTGAGTCAGGATGCAGTAGGAAGCCTGATGGACTTTCAGAGCAGGAATGTCTGGTATTTTTCAGATTGTTCAGGCTTCGTCAGAGCACAAGGGAGAGATTGTGCTTGCCCTGGAGTGGTAATAGGTTGTCACCTCTGGGCTGGTGGGGTGATGCAGGTCGTGAAGAAACTCTGCCAGTGACTTCACTCAGGGTAGCATGCCAGCCCGTCTCCATGCAGGTGGTTGTGGCAATGAACAGATCCTAGAACACCCACGTCGTAGTCTGGGAGCGACCTTGTCCTCCATCTCTGACAGTTTGAAGCCTCCCAAAGAGCTATGATGGGCTTTCCTTAACTTAACTTACATTTGATTCTGTGCAGAGTGCCCAGCGGGCCAAGGCCTCACTCAATGGGGCTGATATATATTCTGGCTGCTGCACTCTGAAGATCGAATATGCGAAGGTAAGTCTGGGAAGTGACTGCTGCTTGTCAGCTTCCAGGTGAGCTAGGGCCTGGAAGATCTCGTCCAGGAGACAAAGTTTTTTTCTTGTCCTTACAGCCTACACGCTTGAATGTGTTCAAGAATGATCAAGATACTTGGGATTATACAAACCCCAACCTCAGTGGACAAGGTAATCCTGATGGCCGCTTTGTTCTAAACACACCCTCTTGCCTTCATTTGACGAGTGCACTTCATAGACCTGGGATCAGGGTTATGTAATGCCATTGGGCTCCCTGTGGACATGGGAGGGCTTTAGTTGGAGAGGGTGAATGAGGGCTCTCTGAATTCTAGCTGCTACTTGGGGCCCTTTGATGGAGCTGAAGGTGCAGAATCAGGTAGAGGCTTGGATTGGGTGGGTACAGGGCCTCACTGCATGGTGATGGCTTTAGAAACCAAGAAGCAGCTCCCAAGTGGATTCTGCTGCTTCCCTTCTGGAAGATTATTTAGTGTCACTGACTTCATTCTCATGGGTCAGAAATGGTCCTTGCTCTCCACTATCGAGAGGGTCTTTTTGGTGTGGGGGCGGAGAAGGGGATGGCAGATTGGGGAGGTGGTGAAGGCTCCTGGGCACTTGCAGCAGAGCCTTTGAGCAAATTGACCTTGTAGAGGTGAGGCCCTGGATGGAAGCAGAGTGGGCATGCCTTCCCAACTTGTAGAGGGGACTCACCTTCTCTGCAGGGTGCCCAAATGGACATTCCCTTCCTAGAATCTGTCAAGAATGATTTGCCTTGGATAGGAGGGAGAGATGGAGGATTGCCTTTGAAAAGCAGCAGCACCGCCTCAACAAGACCGTCTATCTCTGTGTCTGTCTTGGTCTGATACATTGGACTAGGCCATGGGCTGAGGGAGGAGGCCGGTTGCTGACATCTCACAGGCCCTGGGAGGCCAGGTGCCCCCATTACTAGCCAGGCCTGTCTTGCTCATCATTGAAGCTGGGAAGCAGTGGGTGGCATGGGCTAGACTCTTCCCCAGGACCTTCACAATGGGTGCTGTGGGCCTGGCAGCTCCCTCCAGAGGTCAGAGACAAATTGGTGACCAAGTGAATGTACCAGAGCAGGCAATGGCATTACATGACTGCTAACAGAAACATGGCAACCAACCATTTCTTCTCCAAGGAACATAAATAGAAGATGTGCAGACCAGCAGGGGCTAGTGGCAGGGGCTGGCTGTGCATTGGTTTTGATGCCTCTCAGTTTTGGCTGTCCCAAGGCTGGGGGTCAAAAACGAGAGCTGATGAGGTGACCTGGAGTGAGGGCGGTGCTTCGCCATTCCCTCAGGAACCAAACTTCAGCGGCTCTGCCTCTGCACATTGCTCACCAACACACAGGGTAGAAACCACTAGCTCTTCCTGGAGAAAACAACATGCAGCCTCCACCACGTCCCCAGAAACAGCCGCAGACTTGAGCTCACTACATCAAGAACACCACACCGCGCTCCAAGGAACAGCTACAAGCACAGAGGCAGACAGAGACAGAGAGAAAGAGACTCAACATGGCAGCAGACACTGCTTTTTTATTAAACATTAAAGAAAGGCCAAAATCCAAGCAAACTCGAACCCGAGAATGTACACAGAAGTAGGAAACACAGAGAACAGAGCTCTCAGCCAGCCAACGGCGCTCTTTTCGGAGAATGTTTCACAGACTGAAGTAGATTCCATGGGCCTCCAAGACAATAAGATCCTCTCTCCATTCCTCGCCATACGGGTTTTGTTTTGTTTTTTTTAAGTCCTTTGGTTTGGGGAGGGCCTTCTTTTTTTGTTTTGATTTTTTTTTCCTGCAGTCAACAGCTGCCAACATAATCTGCACCAACTGGAGATCAGAAACCAAAAAAAAAAAATTTAACCACAACAACAACAAAATAAAGCAAAACAGACAGCCAAACAGCTCAGAGGTACACAGTTACCTGCTGGTGGGTAATCGGGCGTGCTCCCAAGGCCAAAAGTTCGGGCATAGTGGGGCCACTGGCACACTTCATAACCAGGAGACACGCACATGGAGCGCTACACAGCCAGAAGCACCGCACTGCAGCACACAATGTGAGGAGGTGACAACACGGAGGGACACTACCCACTTCATACACCTTTATTTTCCACTTTCTGATATCTTCTGAGGACAGAACATCTGTGAGCCACTTGATTTAATCAAAACATTGACTGTTAAAACAATTCTTTAAAAAAGTTGTAGCTGATGTATACTGTAACTTGTATTTATGACTGTAAAACCATGTGATGCAGGGTCGCAGTGTATGTTTGATGGGACGCCATCTTTCAGAACTGTGCTAACTCACTGTTGAAGCGTCCAATGGTAAGAGAAAATACAGATTTGTTTTTTGTGACAAATGGACATTGTACTCTGTACTTCTGCTGTAAGTAGTTCTATTCCATCTTTGTAATGACTGATTGTTGAAAACAAAATGAAGGCCGGGGTGGCAGGAAAGAGCAGTGGCCTTGAGCTCTGGGTTTTTGGAGTCAGCCAGATCTGGGTTCAAATCCCAGCTCAGCCATTAACTTGTGACCTTGGGCTAAAATGTCTTAACTGCTCAGTTCAAAGTTAATCCTTATCTGTAAAATGGGATTAAAATAGTACCTACCTCATAGGGTTGTTGTGAGGAAACTAAGAAGCTATGATGTTTGTAAAGTGCTTAGCACAGTGTCTGCCACTAAATTAATGGTAGCAATTAATGAACTACATCTGGGGTCAGGGATGGATCTGCGCCATTGTCTGGGTCTGAGAATGTTGATGCTTTGTACACGATTGCTCATATGAACTGATTCTGACTTGCTGCTTGTCCTTTCCTCCAGTCCCTCTGGTTGTATGTGACTAGGTGGGAGGGTGACTAGGACTGGCATTGAGAAAGAAGGGGCCTAGAGTGGGTTCTAGAGCTCCTATAATCATGGGGTATTGGGGTTGGTATCTTCTTTCTGCCCTTGGGTTATTTTCCTGGTCTTAACCTCTCCCTTCATTGGGAGATATTTTAGAAAGCTCTTCTTGGCCCCATGACCTATTAGCTTCCATAGTAGCTGCAAGTTCCCCAGAGAACCCAAGAACTCTTTTTCCCACCAGGACCAGAGCAGATGCCAGAGCGCCCAGAACCTGGCCTCATCCTTCAAAGAAAGGAAAGCCTAGTTGGTGTGGGCTAAGGAGGCAAAGTGGGTTCCAGCCTTGGGCTTCATGCCCACCCTCAGGCAGGCCAAAGGAGGGACGCTCCAGCAGCCCTTGAGATACGGAGGGGTTGCAGCCAAGCTTCTAGGAGCTAAGGGACTTGGAGCCAGGCCTTTAGTGAGAAGGGAAAGAGCCACCCCTCTTATCGAACTAAGCTCTAACTAATTTCTCTGTCCACAGGTGACCCTGGCAGCAACCCTAACAAACGCCAGAGGCAGCCCCCTCTCCTGGGAGATCATCCCGCAGAATATGGTGAGGGCAGGGGGTTCCCCTCCGTGGACTCCCGTGGCTCATGTGCCCCTGCCCGACGCCCGCCACGCAAATTCTCACCCGTCCTCCCTCTCTTTCCTTCCCACCCCCCAGGAGGGCCCCACGGTGGGTACCACAGCCATTACCATGATGAGGGCTACGGTCCCCCCCCACCTCACTACGAAGGGAGAAGGATGGGCCCGCCAGTGGGGGGTCACCGCCGGGGCCCAAGTCGCTACGGTCCCCAATATGGGCACCCCCCACCCCCTCCCCCACCACCCGAGTACGGCCCTCACGCCGAAAGCCCTGTGCTCATGGTCTATGGCTTGGATCAGTCTAAGATGAACTGTGACCGAGTCTTCAATGTCTTCTGCTTGTACGGCAATGTGGAGAAGGTGAGTTTCTGCAAAGTCTACTGGTTTCCTTGTAGACCTGGCAGGTCCCAGGGAGGCCCTGAACCTCATGGCTTGCCCAGTCAGTGAAGAGAGAGAGCCAGAGTTCACTTGGGTAAGAGCAAGTTGACTCAGGATAACTTGCTTAATTGGGTGACCTGCTAAAACAGGGTTTGTTTGGACTGTGTATGGGTATTTTGTCCGTTTTTGAAATTTCAGTGTTAAGACTGAACTAACATAAAAGTGCTAATACTTAACATTACTTGGAATATTTCAATATGTGAAATTTATTCATTGTGGTTATTTTTTAAAACTTTTTAAAATTTACTGGTTTTAGAGAGAGAGAGGGAAACATCGATTTGTTGTTCCACTTATTTATGCATTCATTGGTTGATTTTTTTTTTTTTTTTTAATATATTTCGTTGATTTCTTACAGAGAGGAAGGGAGAGAGAGCTAGAAACATCGATGAGAGAAACATCGACCAGCTGCCTCTTGCACACCCCCTCCCTACCGGGGATGTGCCCGCAACCAATGTACATGCCCTTGACCGGAATCGAACCTGGGACCCCTCAGTCCGCAGACCGACCCTCTACCACTGAGCCAAACCGGTTTCGGTCATTGGTTGATTCTTATATGTGACCTGACTGAAGATCAAATCTGAGTGTACTGGGATGATGCTCTAACCAGCTGAGATGTCGGGCCAGGGCTATCCACTGTATGAGAGTTTTCTCCAGATAATCTGCCTACACTGGGTTTTCTGCCGTGGGATAGTTAGACTGATAGGTGACTGTTCCAAATCAGATTTATTGCTTCTGTCAAATCCATCTAAAGCATTTTGAGTTTGTAGCCTCTCTTGGCCCATTAAAAACAGTAATAGTTCTTACGTGTTAAATTTTTCCTATATGAGGCTCTTTTAAAAGTGCTTTACGTGTTGTATTTTAACTTCACAAGCATCTTTAATGAGGTAAGGGGGAGAAATGAAGGAACGTGAATAACGTGCCTAGGTTAACAGACCTTTTTGTGGAAGGACTCGAGCTAGAGAGCCTGGCTTCAGAGTTGACAGTACCGGTTTTCAGTGTGTTTTTGTTACACTCAGTATTTTACATCAGGACCCAGTATCTAGATAAATGTGTCTATTAACAAACAAACATGAGAATAGCTGCTTTGGTTTTTTTACTATGCCTCCTGTTTTATGTTGTGTTTCATTAAGTGATCTTCTCATGGGCTATGTCCTACACCATCTGGGCTCTGCTGCCTGCCTTGGGCTCAGCACTTGCCGTGAGCCATGCGTGCTTTTCTGTTTCTCTTGATTCCCATTTGTAAGTCAGGATGTGTGGAAACAAGAGTTACTCCTAACTAACTTGGAAGGGGCAGGAAAGAGGCCCCTGGCTGCTGGGCAGTGATGATGACCATGGCTGCTCTCCCTAAGGTGAAATTCATGAAAAGCAAGCCGGGGGCTGCCATGGTGGAGATGGCTGATGGCTATGCTGTGGACCGGGCCATTACTCACCTCAACAACAACTTCATGTTTGGACAGAAGCTGAAAGTCTGGTAGGTGCCCAAATTCCTTGGGATAGGATGCTTTGGCAAGGGCCTGGGGAGAAAAGGGAAGGAAAATAGGGCACCCACTGCACAGGGCCCAGCGGTGGAGCACAGTGAGACAAAGGTGCTTATTCAGGCAGGAGTGAGGTGGGGTGGGTGTGTTTCCAGATGCTTCTCTGAAGCAGTGGGGAAAAGAGTGCTTCGCCTCAGCTGTGTCACAGTGCCCCCTAAGTACACAGCACTCGCTCAGGCAGGAATAAGGCCACAGTGGAGGGCTTGGGGGACATTAGGTTTTGACAAAGAGCTCCCTTTTCTCGTAGTGTCTCTAAGCAACCTGCCATCATGCCTGGTCAGTCCTATGGGCTGGAAGACGGGTCCTCCAGTTACAAAGACTTCAGTGAATCAAGGAACAATCGGTTCTCCACTCCGGAGCAGGCAGCCAAGAACCGCATCCAGCACCCTAGCAACGTGCTGCACTTTTTCAATGCCCCTCTGGAGGTGACGGAGGAGAACTTCTTTGAGGTGGGTGCCATGGAGTTGGTCCCACACCACAGCCATCCGAGTGGGCCATACATTTTAGTCTATTGTTTTTCCTACTCTGCTAGGATGAGGGTTGGGTGCTGGGGACAGCACCAAACATCTAACAACAGAGAAGTTTGCCAGGCTCTTACATTTTTGGCAAGCTAGGATGGCTATACCTTTGATGGGAAAGTATCTGTGTGTTGGAGTGGTGATCAGAGTCCAGTCTCAGAATATCCCCTTTTGTCAGGCAGGCCCCCAGGTGCCTAGATAACATCTGAAGGGAGGGAGCCTGTTAAGGGAAAGGTCAGGGGGAACTAGGGCAGGCAGTCTGACTGGCAGGTTTGGACTTTGGTCTTTGTATTCAGTTCATCAAATATTTACCTAGTGCCAACTCCCTCAAATAGCAGCTGAAGATGAGAGTGGGGCGGTGGGGGCAGGGTAAGAGGAGTCATAAAACACCATAAACTGTGTGATGAAAGCTTAGAAACTCCTCTCCATGCAGGGCAGGTCTGCTTGATTCTGCCATGTGGCATTTTTTGTGTTTCTGCATCTGTTTTCTGTTTTTGTTTTCTTGTATGTTTTTATTGATTTCAGAGAGGAAGGGAGGAGAGAGATTATCAATGATGAGAGAATCACTTGTCGGCTGCCTCCTGCATGCCTCCTACTGGGGATCGAGCCCACAACCCGGGCATGTGCCCTTGACTGGAAACGAACCTGGGACCCTTCAGTCTGCAGGCTGACACTCTTATCCACTGAGCCAAACCAGCTCGGGCATCTGCATCTATTCTTTGTCTTGCAGATTTGTGATGAGCTGGGAGTGAAGCGGCCATCTTCTGTGAAAGTATTCTCAGGCAAAAGTGAGTAAACTGCCTTGTCTTTTCCCTCATTCCTTGGTTGTAGGTTAATAGCTCCCTAGTTTGTGCTTGGGTCAGGCTAAAACCTTTGCTTTCTGATCAGGTGAACGCAGCTCCTCCGGGCTGCTGGAATGGGAATCCAAGAGTGATGCCCTGGAGACTTTGGGCTTCCTGAACCATTACCAGATGAAAAACCCAAGTGAGTATCTGTATCCTGCAGTCCACCCCCCTTATGATCTAATGGGTTGGCTGGCTTCAGATCAGAGCTGTCCTTCCTGCTATCATGATAGAGCCTCAGAGATGTTCACATTGTCTCTGACACAGATGAGTGGGACCTGATCTCCAGGAGAACAGCTTGTGATCCCTGTGGGAGAGCCAGCCTGGCTGCTTGCTCACCCACTCTGCCAGCTGAGAGTTGTTCGGGCTTGTTTTTAGGTAGCTGGCATTCTCTGTGTCAGAAGCTATCGTAATGCCCAGCATGACAGTCACAGAGGCTGGCTAAGCTGGTGTCCAGAAAAGGGGCTATATTAGCCAGCAGGTAAAATTTGCCCATCCAGTTCCGGGGGGCAGATCTATTGCTTTGAGCAGCAACAGAGCTAGGAATGGAATTCTCCATGGTAGTGAAGGAAGGGAAGGAGAAATGCCTTGTGTTTTTGGCTTGTTTTTAAGCCTCACATGGGTAGTGCCTATTAGGCCCCACAACTGAACTACAGAAAAAGAGATGTGTTTAAATGAGGAGAATGGTGGGATGGGGCGAGGGTTGAGGAGGGGCACCTCCAGAGATGAGCTCAGCCAGACCTCTCTTCTTCTTTGCAGATGGTCCGTACCCTTACACCCTGAAATTGTGTTTCTCCACTGCTCAGCATGCCTCGTAATTAGGTGCCGAGGAAGAGTCCTATCTGAGCAGGAAATAATTTCTTTCCTTTGTGGTTTTTTTTTTTTTCTTTCTTTCTTTTTTGCAAAAGTTTCTATATTCCTTTTTTTTTTTTTTCTCTCTTTTCTTTTTCTTTTTTTTTTTTTTTAAATGCTAGATTAGAGGCTTAACCATAATGGAAACAATGGAAGGGGAGGGGAAGGGAATTGATATCTCCCAAGATTAACCTTCACTTTTAAGAAATTATTGTACATGTGATTTTTCCCCCGTTCATACATTCGTGCTGCCTATGTACTCTTGGCACATTTCAATAAAGTTGTTTGGAAAATTAACAGCGTTTTCTGGGACTCAGGGTTGTGTCTGCTTCCCTCCCACTTGGACTGAAGAGGGGCAGGCAGGCCAGGACACAGCTGCAGGCCCAGCCCTGGGAGGAGCAGGGTGAGCCAGGGCTGTAGACCAAAATACAGTATTTTTCCGTGTATAAGACACTTTTTTTTCTTCTAAAATAGACTGAAAATTGAGGGGTGTCATATACAGAAGTCAAGGAGGGCAGGAGGGAGCCATGTGGGTGTATAGCTGCCCATACCTTGCCATATGCTTTCTCCAGTCACAGCCTTATTGTTATTGGTCAGCTGGTGCCGTAATTGGAGGTGGAGAGTGCGGAGATGCAATAAGGACCAGAGCATTCTGAGCCCATAAAGATGTCAAAAAATTTTTAAAAAGCCCTGCTGAAACCGGTTTGGCTCAGTGGATAGTCTGCCAGTAGAGTAAAGGGTCCCAGGTTCAACTCAGGGCAAGGTTATATATAGCTTGGTTTGGGGCATATCCCTGGGGGAGGAGGGGTGCAGGAGGCAGCTGATCGATGTTTTTCTCTTCGATGCTTCTCTCTATCTCTCTCCCTCTGTAAAAAATAAAATATATATTTTTTAAAAGATAAATATTGTTAAGTGATTGCCTTACTCTGCAAAATTCAAACAATCGATTAGCTATGGAAATAGAGCTGCAGAGACACAATTGAGACCTCATGCTGAGTGTATGGTCAGTCAGTGGAGAAAACAAATTACAACTCCTTAAGATGCAAAAAAAAAAAAAAAAAGGCCTTAAAAGGAAAACCAGCAAAATGTTTAAAATACTGATTTTTTAATTTTGGGTAGGAAAGAGGGGCGGGTGTCATACCATATAAAAATACCGTATATGGAGTTAGAAACCAAGATGGCGGCATAGGTAAATGCCTAGCTGCAGCCTCACACAATAATTTCAAAAAATAAAACTAAAATATAGTGGACATTATTCAGAACTACAGGAAAGTTGACTGGAAATTCTACAACTAGGAGGAAAAAGAAAACCAGAAGGAAAATCAGAGGAGCTGTAAAAGCCTAAGGTATGGAGACACAGTGTGCGCGTGGGGAGAGGAGGGGCAGCTGAGTGCTTGGCTGGTGTTCCCTAGCGGGAAGGAAATAAAAGCTCCAGACTGCTGAACTCCAGTTCTGGGCGAGACCCTCAGGGCCCCAGGCTCATGCAGAGGAAATCTGAGCTGTAAGGCTAAAGCTCAGGGGAGCTGCGAAGGGCAGAGCCCTTGAGTCACACACATTTCACGCAGAGGACAGACTATTGATTGAGCTGCTGGATTGCCCTAGCGGGAAGGAAACAAAACTCCAGACTGCACTGAACCCCACTTTCAACTGCACTGAGCTCTGGGCTCATTGGGGGAGAGACTAGACTGGTAGCAGGCAAAACTAGAGGGCACCTTTTAGAAGTGCTTGCAGCTAGTACCAAAGGACACTGAGGAACAGGCTCAGGAGCCTCATAGGGCGGGGCTAACCAGAAGCCAAGGCTGTAGGCTCCACCCTGAAACACAAGCAGTTTTCCAAGTCTAGTCAAATAAGGCTGTCTCCTGGCATAGTTAGAGCTGATCTTCCCACCCTACCAACTCAGAAGCAGCAAAAATGCCGAGACAAGGAAACAGATCACAAACGAAAGAAATGGAGGACAAAAGGAGACTGGATATAGAGTTCAAAACCATGCTTATAAGGTTTTTCAAGAATCTAGAAAAGGCCGATAAAATAAGACCCTATGAAGTTATAAAAAGGGATCAACTAGAAATAATAAAGGATCAACTAAAAATAAAGAATACATTCTCTGAAATAAAAAAATATTGTATAGAGTCCTAAAAACAGAATGGAAGATTGCAAGAATCAAGTCAAAGATTTGGAACACAGAGTCAGAGTACACTCCTCCGCAGAAGCAAAAAGACAAGAGAATCCAGAAAGTTGAAGATAATGTAAAAAACCTCTGGGACAACTTTAAGTGAACCAACATCAGTATTATGGGCGTCCCAGAAGAAGAGAGAGAGCAAGATACCGAAAGAATACTGGAAGAAATAGCAACAGAAAACTTCCCCCACCTGGTGAAAGAATTAGACTTACAAGTCCAGGAAGCACACAGAACCCCAAACAAAAGGAATTCAAAGAGGACCACACCAAGACACATCATAATTAAAATTCCAAGAGCAAAAAACAAAGAATATTAAAAGAAGCAAGAGCAAAGCAGGTAGTTACCTATAAAGGAGCACCTATACAATTGTCAGCTGATTTCTCAATAGAAACCAATGCAGGCCAGACGGGAATGGCAAGAAATATTCAAGGTGATGAATAGCAAGAACCAACAGCCAAAAATACTCTACCCAGTAAAGCTATCACTCAGAATTGAAGGCCAGATAAAGAGCTTCACAAATAAAAAAAAGCTAAAGGAGTTCATCACCACCAAACCAGAATTATATGAATTGCTGAAGGGGGTTCTTTAGGAAGAGGAAGTAAATAAAGATAAAAATTATGCACAACAAATATGTAACTATCAACAAGTGAATCTAAAAATCACGGGAAGTAAAAAACATGATGAACAATATTAAATGGTGAATATAATAGAATCAGAGGTATGGAAGGGGAGTGGACTGATGATTCTTGGGGAAAAGAGAAGGGGTGTGGGAAGAGACTGAACATAAACTGCACCTATGGATGAGGACAATGGGTTTGGGGAAAGGGCAGAAGGTGGGATGGGAACTTGGTGGAGGGGAGCAATGGAGGGGGAGGGGGAAAGGAACATTTGTAATAATATGAACAATAAAGATTTATTTTTTAAAAATACGGTATATGGTGTTGCTGGGGAAGTGGGTATGACTTAAAAGGGAAATTATGTGACTAAACAGGGCTTTTTTCACTGTTAGTCCTCACCTGAGGATATTTTTTTCATTTGTGTTTTGAGAAAGACATTGTGCCTCTTACATGTTCCCCAACCAGAGCCTGGGATCAAACCTGCAACCCTTCTGTGCCTGGGCTGACACACTGGCCAGAGTAACACCTGCCTCTGCCTTTTTTTTTTTAATATGTTTTGTTGATTTTTCACAGAGAGGAAGATAGAGGGATAATTAGAAACATCGATGAGAGAATCGCCTATCAGTGCCTCCTGCATACCCCCTACTGGGGATGTGCCTGCAACCAAGGTACATGCCCTTGACTGGAATCGAATCTGGGAGCTTCCAGTCTGCAGGCTGACACTCTATCCACTGAGCCAAAAACAGTTTCGGCATCACCTACCTTTTTAGAAGGTTGGAAAATAAACCTATGGAAGATAAAAGTGGAAGTCTCCTTATTTCTTTTATCAATTTTTGTGATATTTTTTCTCCATGTCATATTGGGCAATGACCCCTGCCGTTGAACTGAAGAATAAGAGGTTTGCAAAACAAGGACTTGGGTAAGAGGAGCATGTTCAGGGTTCCACCTGGACATTTGTTTTGATTTTTAATGTGTTTTCTTTTTTATTGATTTCCAGAGAAGGGAAGGAGAGATTGAAACATCAATGAAAATCATTGATTGGCTGCCTCCTGCACACTCCTACTGGGGATTGAGCCTGCAACCCAGGTATGTTCTCTGACCGGGAATTGAACCATGACCTGGTACATACGTCAACACTCAACCATTAAGCCGCACCGGCTGGGCAACATTTGTGCTTTTTTAAAATAAATCTTTATTGTTGACAGTATTAACATAGGTCTCCTTTTTTCCCCTCACTGAGGATATTTTTTCCCATTTATTTTTATTTTATTATTTTTTAAAAATATATTTTTATTCATATTTTACAGAGAGGAAGAGAGAGGGATAGAGAGTTAGAAACATCAATGAGAGAGAGTCATCAATCAGCTGCCTCTTGCACACCCCATACTGGGGATATGCCCGCAACTAAGGTACATGCCCTTGACCGGAATTGAACCCGGGACCTCTCAGTCCGCAGGCCGACGCTCTATCCACTGAGCCAAACCGGTTTTGGCTTCCATTGATTTTTAGAGTTGTAGGGAGGGAGATATGAAAGAGACATTGATTGATTGCCTCCACCACCTGTCCCCAACCTGGGCGAGGATGGAACCTGCAACCCAGGTGTGTGCTCTTGACCAGGAATTAAGCCCATGATCCTTCCATGTGTGTGTTGATACTACTGACCTACACTGGTAAAAATATATATATATAATTGCAACGTGATAGGTACTCCCCAGTTGTAAATGTGTATGTAGGGGTAAGGAGTAGCAACCTGGAAGGAGCCTGCTTTAAAGCTCATGATATAAGAGGCAATCGGTAGAGGAGCAAGTAAAAATTACAGCACTTTGTTCATGCATGTGCTCTTAAAATATTTTTTTTTTAAATATATAGAGAGAGAAGAAGGGAGAGAGATAGAGAAACATCGATGTGTTTCTCTATCAAACATCCTCTTGCACACCTCCCAGTGGGGATGTACCTGAAATCAAGGTACATTCCCTTAACCAGAATCGAATCTGGGACCTTTCAGTCCATAGGCGGAAACTATCCACTGAGGCAAACCGGCCAGAGCCATGCATGTCCTCTTGAAAAAGACCCCACTTTCAAAATTTACTGTGAAGTTTTGAAACTCAGATTTACATTATTGAAGACATGACATTTGTCAGATCAAACTGCTTCATATGGGACAGTTTCAAAATAGAACAAGGAGAAACTAGTCCACCTTGCAGCCACAAACTTCAAAATCTGCTATGACTTATTTTTTCTTAAAAAAAATATAATTTTATTGATTTGAGAAGGAGGAAGGGAGAAGGAGGATAGAAACATTGATGTCCCTAACCATTTTGGTTCTATGGGTAGAGTGTTGGTCCAAGGTCAAGGGCTCATACCTTGGTGTAGGCTCAATCCCAGCCTTGGTCCAGGTGAGTGCAAGAGGGAACAATCTCTGTCTCTCCTCCCTTCCACTCTAAAATCAGATCTGCTGCTTCCTGCACACCCCCACTGGGGGTTGAGCCTGCAACCCCAGGTATGTTCACATGTCCTGATGAATCAAACTGGGTTCATGGACTGACATTCAACCACTGAGCCAATTGGCCATCATAAAGTAAATTAGCAGCCACTTATTCCTTGTAGCAGTTTTTATTCTCTTATAGATACTTTACATATATATTATGTGCACATACAGCGTGCTGTAAGTTTTTTGCTGAAAATACTAAATGTTAATTCTTTTTATTGATTTAAGAGAAGGGAGAGGGAGAGAGAGAAACATCAATGAAGAGAGAATCATTGATGGGCTGTCTCCTGCATTCCCCCACAGGGTATTGAGCCCTCAACCTGGGCATGTGTCCTTTACCAGAATCGACCCTTCAGTCCCCAGGCCGAACTGACTAGGGCAATTTCAACACCTTTACATTTTTCTCTCTCATATCTTGGTATTTGCATGTGGTTTCAGAGTTTCCTTTGCATAGATAACAGTTCTCTGTCGATGGACAGTCACTGGTTCTGTTTTTCCAACAGATCCTGCCTATGACATTTTATTAAGAAGACAAGGTATTCCCTATACCATTTGCTCAGAGACATCCATTTACTTCCTGGTAAACATCTCCCTAACAAGCATTTTTACAGCACTTGTGTTCTTGCATTACATGCATTTCCCATAGAGGTTTATTTTATTTTGAGGAAATTAATTTTAAGAACATAGACTTAAGATTCATATAAATCCCCTCTTCAGCACTTCTGAAGCCTAGAGACCATGAAATAATGACTGCCCCAGCCCCAGGTTCCTGTGTACAAAGGAAAATAGGACCTGGAGGTGGTGTGGGAGTTTTAAATATATATAGTCAGAGCTTAATGTTGGCCCTATTCTGACATGGGTAAACTCTACCTGGTAAGTTTTCTTTTTAGTTAACATAGCATTAGTTAATGGTCAGGGCTGCAGTTATTCTGCCATTATGTCCTTGGACATTTCAGCTGTCTCCAGTTTTTTTGTTTGTTTGTTTGTTTAATATATTTTATTGATTTTACACAGAGGAATTGAGAGGGACAGGGAGTTAGAAACGTCCATGAGAGAGAAACATCGACCAGCTGCCTCTTGCACACCCCCCACTGGGGATGTGTCTGCAACCAAGGTACATGCCCTTGACCGGAATCAAACCAGGGACCTTTCAGTCCGCAGGCCGATGCTCCATCCACTGAGCCAAACCGGTCCCGGCCAGCTGTCTCCAGTTTTAACACCATTATAAAACAGCACCATTATAAAACAGCGTTGTGATGAACTTTATGCAGGAATGTCCATTAGGCCAGATTCTTACTGGGTCAAAGGGGCCCTTCTACTGAAGACCGGCTATTTCCTGTTGCCCTTAGTAAAGATGGCGGGAGGCGGGGCGTCTCGCCTTCCGGCTGCATCTGATGCCCTCCCTCAACATGGCTGCCTTTGTTCCCGCCCCTTTGGTTTCCTCGTATCGCGTTATTCAGCTACTCAGCAGCAATGGCGGCGGCGATGGCGGCTTCACGCAGATTCCGCGACCTGCCGCTGCGGCGTGAGTCACCGGGGTCCCAGAAGTCATGTGACGGGAGGCTTTTCTGGCCCAGCAGGGTCCGGTCCCTTTAACTCAGGGATCGAGCGCCCCATCCCAGGATTCTCCAGTTCTACAAACCTGTGTCTTACAGTCGGGTCGCTGAGGGCGCACCGTCCCTAACCTGGGGTCAGTTCCACAACCGAGGGTCTGAAGTGGTTCTCACATCGAGATCGCTGATAATTGCACCCCTAATCTTAAAACTGTATTTACCTACACTGAGGTATCTAAGGGTCCCGTGTTCCCCAGTCTAGCGTCACTGAGATTGTGTGCCCTCTGCTCTTGAAGGTGCTGTGCACCCAATAAGGGGTCATCAAAGGCTCTTCCTTTCTTTGTCTCCTTAGGACTGACAGCCCCCACTCACCTGGGTCTCAACCTTAGCCTTCGCCCCATGAGCTCCTCTGCACAAGATGAGGCCTCCAGAGCAGCCCCCAGTGAAGCCCCACACCACAACTATGAGTCCCTTCGGGTGACAGCTGCCCAGAGACACATTCTGCATGTGCAGCTTAATCGGCCGGAGAAAAGGAATGCCATGAACAAGGCCTTCTGGAGGTCTGGCCTACAGATCCTGGAGGCCTACCTGCAGGAGGAGGCAGAGGCTGAGGGATTGGCTCGGGGTGGGGTATGGGAGACAATTGGACATGAAGGTAGGGGATTCCCAACCCAGACACAGGCTTTCCTCACTCCTTGATCCTCCACAGCGAGATGGTGGAGTGCTTCAACAAGATAGCGCAAGATGCTGACTGTCGGGCTGTGGTGATCTCTGGTGAAGGAAAAATGTTCACTTCAGGTATGAGATGCTCTCCATCCCCACCTGCCCCCCTTTCCTCTAGGTATAGATAAATGCTTTTTTTTTTTTTAATGCAGCAAAGAAAATAAAGACTTATTTACACCCAGAAACAGGTTAGCTAATAGTTAAAGACCTGGCTCCTGGATAGCTTCCAGGGAATAGGTCATACAGGGGAAAAATCATAAATCATGATGACTCAGGGAGTTAAGGTTGCGGTCAGGGTCATAGTCTCTACTGATTGGTAGATGATTGGGTAGGGGATAGTTGATCCGTGTATCTGGTCCTGATGTCAGCCATGATGTGGGTTGGCTGCTTTTCTGGGCCTAGAATTGAAACACAACTGAAGTCCAGATATTATCTCTAGTTTGACAGAAACTGTCTCTGCGATCAGTAGACCTGAAGCTTTTTCATAGGATTATTTGGTGCCGATCAGAACCTCATTGTCCTGAGGCCTTAATGACTAAGGGAGTGGTCCTTCAAGGGAGAAGAAAGCAGGTGAGTCAGTTTGAATCAAAAGGAAAGAAAGGAGAGAAGGTCATAAGAAACTTCAAAATGAGCTGAAACCGATTTAGCTCAGTGGATAGAGCATCGGTCTGTGGACTGAAAGGTCTCAGGTTCGATTCTGGTCAAGGGCATGTACATTGGTTGCGGGCACATCCCCGGTAGGGGGTGTGCAGGAAGCAGCTGGTCGATGTTTCTCTCTCATCGATGTTTCTAGTTCTTTATCCCTCTCCTGTTCTCTCTGTAAAAAAATCAATAAAATATATTTTAAAAAAACACACAAAACTTCGAAATGAAGTTTCTATGTGGTTATGATCCCCCACTCCCTTTCTTTCGATCATTTCTAATCTTGAGGAATATAGGGCAGCTGGCTAGGACTATAACCATTCTTTTAAACTCTATATCTAGTAGTTTGCTTACTTCCATTTCATTTAGTTGTTTTTTCTGGAGATTTCTTCTGTTCTTTCATTCGTGATGTTGCTTTGTCTTCACATTTAAAAATATATATATTTTATTGACTTTTTACAGAGAGGAAGGGAGAGAGAAAGAGAGTTAGAAACATTGATGAGAGTGAAACATTGATTAGCTGCCTCCTGCACACCCCCTACTGGAGATGTGCCCACAACCAAGGTACATGCCCTTGACTGGAATCGAAACTGGGACTCTCGAGTCCGCAGGCCAATGCTCTATCCACTGAGCCAAACCGCTTAGGGCTATCTCCACATTTTGGCTGCTTTCCTATGTTTGTTGCTATGTACGAGGTAGAGTTGCTGTGTCTCCTGGATTGGTAAATAGCCTTGTGTGGTAGATGTCCTGTGGGGCTTCCTCATATTTCAGATTTTTGGTTTGACTCTTGGGTACATTGATCTACAATTGAGTTTCTGTATATTCTTTATTTCAGACAGTGTATGCTTAATTTATGACTGGTCCTTTTTCTTTTTTTTCTTTTTTCTTTTTGCATTCTCATTAATGTCATTGAACGTCTCTTCAAGTTTCTCAGCAGTTTTTAGAGTTTCTTGAATAATCTTATAAATGTGATTCTGACCTCTGTGTTGTCCAGTAGTTTACATTCCTCCATCTTTCCCATTCATGACATGCTTCTGTGTCTCTGCATTTTGGCTGCCTCCCTGTGTTGATGGAGTGGTTTTGTGTGGTCGGTTACCTATGGGGTCCAATAGCTCAGCTTCCCCAATCACCCGAGGTGGTTGTTCTTGGCACACCCCTTTTTGGGCTGAGTGCAAAGTTTTGGTGTAGTTAAGCCTTGATTGCTGTTGGTACACTGGGAGGAATTGACCTCCAGGCCAGTTGTCTGTGAGGACCTGCTGTTTCTATAATGGAAGAGCTGCTGCTTTGGAGACATGCTTATAGCGCAGGCCTTGTTTCAGTGGGGCTTTGTTGCTCACTGAGTCTGCCTCCCCAATGTGTCACTTATGGATGTGAGGAGTTGAAATCTGGTGTCTCACACTGACCACTAGATACACTGAATCTTCATTGGGGTGCAGGTCAGCTACTGTCTGAGGCCACCCTGCAGGAGCTACAGTGAGAACCACAGTCCTCTCCTCCCTGCTTGGAGCTTGGAGTCTTTGGAGTTGTCTACACCAGGTTGCAAGTTTGCTAGGTTAAACTGCACTAGAGAAGGCCATTCATATGAAAAAGCTGCTGCTTGGAGCTTGGGTGTGTTTGTAGATTGTGCAGGGCTGAGTCTCAGGACGTCACTAGGCTATGGCATGGCAAGCCACCCTCACTTTCTGATCCAATGGCAGACAGTCTAGCTTCTCCCTAGATACTGGATTTCTCTCTTCGGGTTGAAGAAAGCAACACCCTCCGCCAGCCGGGATCCGCCGCCAGCCCGTATCGCGCACGTGCCCCGGCACCTCAGTTTTTCAGCGCTTGTGCCCTGAATGCTCTTTTCTCTCAGTCTAGTTGTAGAAGTTTCACTCAGCCAGCATTCCCGTGGTTCTGGGTGATAGACATTTTGTCTTTTAGTTGTAGTTTTGAAATTGCTGTGCACGGCAGCAGTTTAGATGTTTACTTACGCCGCTATCTTTGATCTCTCCACAAGTCAGAAATTTTTATGTGATGCCTCACTTCATCTCACAGATGACAACTATGTGCTCTGATTGGACAAGATACAAACAGCTACTGGGCAGCACAGGGAAGATTCTAAAGAGAGTTGTCACTTAAAAAAAGGTCCTGGCAGTGAGGCAGTTACCAGTTTTTAGAGCTTTTAGTCCAAGGCCAAGCTAAAGTTGTGCTTGTAGCCGAAGCCGGTTTGGCTCAGTGGTAGAGCGTCGGTCTGCGGACTGAAGAGTCCCAGGTTCGATTCTGGTCAAGGGCATGTGCATTGGTTGCGGGCACATCCCTGGTAGGGGGTGTGCAAGAGGCAGCTGGTCGATGTTTCTCTCTCATCGATGTTTCTAGCTCTCTATCTCTCTCCCTTCCTCTCTGTAAAAAAAATCAATAAATATATTAAAAAAATAAAAATAAAAAAAATAAAGTTGTGCTTGTAGAACCAGAAGACAGAGTTAGGGTGATGCCAGCTGTTGAAAGTAAGGGAGTAAATTCCACAAAGGAAAGGAGACAGTCAGAGAGTGGAGCTCCAAATTCTGTATATAAACTTTGCCCAAATTTATTGCTGTTTATACAACCCAAAAGATTTAAAAGCTGATTCCAACTAAGCTGATAAAACAGGAATCTCTTTGGAGTTCTATAGTAGGATCCAAAGTTTCCACAACATCTTTCAATATCCCAATATCTAGGATACAATCCAAAATTACTCCAAATACAAAGAAAAATAATTTTTTTTTTCAGAAGACCTATTTTTTTCAAAAGATAAAAAAAAAAACAGAGATTGACCTAAAGGTGACCCAGATGTTGAGATAAGGAGACAAAGATTTTAAAGCAGCAACTACAACTAAGCTCAATGGCACAAAGAAAGATATACTCATAATAAATAGTAAGACGAAAGTTCAGCAGAGAAATGATAATATATATAAAGAACCAAATGGAAATTTGAAAACTCTAATCTACATTATCAGAAATTGTAAAACTAACTGGATGAGCTTAGCATAATAGAGATGACAAAGGAATCAGTGGATCTGATCCATGGGAATTACCATTTCAGGAACAGACCTGAGGGACAATCAAAAGATCCAAGAGACATGGAACTGGGAATCAGTTCATGTGTGTTGGGTAATTACATGAAAGCATGTTATTATAATATAACACACTTTAGTGACAAAAAAAAAAAAAGATTCTCAGAGGTTAGGACCTTAAGTCATGTTGTCATGCTCAGTTGGACTAATTTCTAATTTGAATATTTTATTTTACTTAAAAAAAAATTTTTTTAATTGATTTCAGAGAGGGGAAGAGAGAAACATCAGTGATGAAAGAGAATCATCAATCGGCTGCCTCCTGCGTGCCCCCATACTGGGAATCGAGCCCACAACCCAGCCATGTGCCTGATCTAGAATTGAACCATGACCTCCTGGTACATGGGTCAATGCTCAATCACTGAGCAACATCAGCTGAGCTGAATTTGAATGTTTTAAATTAAAATGATAAAAGGAGAAGTTAGAATCTGCTGACAATCCCATTTAACAAGCATTGCTCATGTTAAAACATATTTTTCTCCCTACCTCAGCCGAAGATATTTTCCCATTGATTTTTATTTTTATTTATTTATTTATTTAATATATTTTATTGATTTTTTACAGAGAGGAAAGGAGAGAGATAGTCAGAAACATCAATGAGAAAAAGTTGTCGATCAACTGCCTCTTGCACACCCCCTACTGGGGATGTGCCTGCAACCAAGGTACATGCCCTTGACCGGAATCGAACCAGGGACCCTTCAGTCCACAGGCTGATGCTCTATCCAATGAGCCAAACCGGCTTCGGCTTCCCATTGATTTTTAGAAAGTGGATGGGGGTGTGAGGTGGAGAGGGAGGGAGTATGACAAGAATAGTAATTGATCATATAAATTCTTTTAAATCTGCTTTGCTGGAGTTTCATAAGGAATCTCCAGATGACCTTTAGCCCCTTAGGGCTAGAAGCCAAGCCATATAGTTGCCACCAGCATTTGCTTGCAATACCTATTGATTTGGGTGAATTCCTCAGGTTCTCAAGGTTCTTTCCTTGTTGACTCCCAAGAAAGCAACTTTTGTTCCTTATCTGGAAAAACTAATGTGAACCATGGAAGTAGGTATCAGGTCATTTTCCAAGGGGCTTTTATCAGCTTCCAGATTCAATAATAATTCCTTAAAACTTTCTGGTGACATCTGAGTCAGTGCATGTCTATGTAAAAAATGACATTCCAGCCTTAGCCAGTTTGGCTCAGTGGATAGAGCATCGGCCTGCAGACTGAAGGGTCTCAGGTTCAATTCTGGTCAATGGCACATGCCCAGGTTGTGGGCTCAATCTCCAGGAGAGTGTGTGCAGGAGGCAGCTAATCAATGATTCTCATCATTGATACTTCTCTCTCTCCTCCCTTCCTCTCTGAAATAAATTTTAAAAATATATTTTTAAAAATGACATTCCAGTCAAAGTCTTAGTAATAAACCAATTTCTAATTTGTCTTGTTATAAAAAGAACATATTGCTCTAGCCCGTTTTGCTCAGTGGATACAGACTAAAGGCTCACAGGATTTATTCCAATGGCACGTACCTCGGTTGCAGGCTCAACCCCTGGCCCCTGGTCGGGGCATGTGCAGGAAGCAACCAGTTGAAGTGCCTCTCTCACATCAATGTCTCTCTCTCTTTCTCTCTCTCCCTCCCTCCTCCCTCCCTCCTCCCTCCCTCTTTTTTTTTTCCTCTCTCCCTCCCTCCTCTCCCCCTTCCTCTTTCTCTAAAGTCAATAAAAATATATTTTAAAATAAATAAAATAAATAAAAAAGCATGTACTTGAGTGAGGATTTTTTAAAAAGTTCTTAATCAGAATGAAGCTTGAATTCAGAAAGTCATCTAACTCCTCAGTACTCACAGCACCTAGTTCTCCAGGTTTCTCCTCAATGAAGAGGGACCAGCCCACCTTTGCTCTCCACCATGTTGCAATAATATGCAGGCATCTCTTGGAAGACCATGAATCCCAGGCCGATGTTGTTCAGTGGTTAAAGCAGCAGCTCATCACCAAAAGGTTACAGGTTTGATTTCCTGTCATGGGCACATACCTAAGTCAGAGTGCCCTAGGAGTGTAGGAGGCAACCAATCAGCATCTCTCACCTCAATGCTTTTCTCTCTCTCCTCCTTCTCCCTCTTCCCCCTCCCTGCCTTCCTCCCTCCTTCCCACTCTTTCTGAAAAGCAATGGAAAAAATATCCTCAAGTGAAGATTAACAAAAAAAAAAAAAAAAAGGAAATAGCCCATACTTATTGTAGCATTTGTGAGGTGTGAGGTGACATCCCATTTCACCTGTTTATTCTCCCACAACCCTAGGAGACAGGTTCAGTTTTCATCCCCATTTTACTATAATAGTATATATGCTGAAACTCCAGCCCGAGGGAGGACGAAATGCCCAGTTCTCACAGGTGATAAGTGGCAGAGCCAGGATTTCTGACCTGGAGCTGCCTGGCTGCTGAGTCCCCTTGCCGATACACCCCTAAGTGACTATAGCCCAGGTGCCTGGCACGCTGGCTCAAAGCCAGGGCTCTGGTCCCAGAGCCAGCCACGGGTCCTCCTGCACACCCCCCTTCAGCTGTGTTTCATTTTCCTCCTCTAAAGAGAACGGAGGTAACAGCGCCCAGCTCAGGTTTCTGAGAGGATTCAATGAGTGAGATTCCTAAAACATCAATACATGGAAAACTTTTTTGATGGAGCTGTTATTTGTGATTATGAATAACTTCATTATGATTGTGAATGATACCTGGAACATTTCAAGATTCCCAGGAGAATGTGATGGCGGGGAGTGGTTCTTACTGTGGAGGGGAACACCTTGCCTTCTGTTTGGGGCCCTTACTGCACAGGGTTGTAAAAGCCAGTCTGCAGGTCCAGATAGTACAGGTAAACCAGAAAAACCAGTGGAGGCAGGGATCACAAGGTGCCAAGCTGGGCTTGTCTGGCAGTAAGTGTGGCTCCCATGAGTCACTCGGACTTCTCAGACATGGCGTGGAAGAAGCGCTCAGACTGATCCAGGTTCTGGCCTCTACTGAAATGGAGTCTGTAATAGCAACATGTGATGCCCTAAGTGCCAGGCACCGCTTAAAGCTTCGTCTCCTTGAAGTCTTGCATCCTTATCAGCTCTCAGCAGGACTTTACCCTCATTTTACAGAGAAGAAACCCAAGGCCCAGAGGACGAAGTGACCTGGATAGGGACACCAGAGTCCCATCTATTTATTTAAATATATTTTATCGATTTCAGAAAGGGAGAGATAGAAACATCAATGATGAGAGAGGATCATTGATTTGGTGCTTCCTGCGCGCCCTGCCCCTCGGGGATCGAGCCCACAATCCGGGCTTGTGCCTTTGTACTCTATCCATTGAGCCAAATCATCTGGGGCCAGGGGATCCCATCTTAAGCATATTTAACTTGCACAAATTCATTGCTACCCTGGGCCAATACTGCTGTATTTAAACAAGCTGTGGAGGCAACGGAGTCTGAGAGGGGGTGGGTATATATGGAAATGATTTTTCAAGTTTGTTAACCAAATTGCAGAGGACAGGCAGCAGGCTGACTGCGATTAAGTTGAGGAGGAAAAAAGTGAAGGATGATTCTGTTTAGAACTGTCCCATTGCTCTATCTCAGAGTAAAAGCCAAAGTCCTCCTCTTGGCTCAGGAGACCCCACACTGCTGGCCCGGTCACCTTTCTGACCGTGACTCTTCCCAGTTTCCTTCTTGCTCGTTCTACTTCAGCTACCCTGCCTCCTCCATGGTCCTCACACAGACAGGGGCATTTCTACCCTGGCTGATCCTGACATTTGGAACTCCTATCCCGGATGTCCCTGTAGTTCCCTGTTTCTTCTCCACATCTTTTTATTTTTATTATTATTTTTTTAATATGTTTTTATTGATTTCAGAGGGGGAAAGGGAGGTAGAGAGAGATAAAACATCAGTGATGAGAGAGAATCATTGATTGGCTGCCCCCCCCCAACTGGGGATCAAGCCTGCAATCCAGGCATGTGCCCCTGATCGGAATCAAACCCGGGACCCTTCAGTCCGCAGGCTGACGCTCTAGCCACTGAGCCAAACTAGGTAGGGCCTCTTCTCCATATCTTTATTCAAATGTCACATTTTCAGTGAGTGGGTCCCTGGCACCCAATGCAATACTGCAGGAGTCCTCACTGCACACCCACTTTCCATTCCATTGTCCTTCTTTAGTTTTAACATTTATCATCATCTGACAACATGTGTTTTTGTATGTGTTTCTTTCCCATAGAAGGGCAGCTCCATGAGGACAGGAATTATCTGTATTGTTCACTTATTGAGCTCCTACTGTGTATTAGACTTTGTTTAGCCAGTGGGATACAGAGGTGGACAAAGACAAAATTCCCCGGCTCCTGGCGCTCTCATCCTAGATGAGAGAGGGGCACTAAGGGAGATGAGCACATTATGCGGTAGCAGGGCCGGCGCTAGGCAGAGGAAGGAGGTGGAAGTGACAGCTGCTATTTAGCCAGGAAGCCAGAGCTGGCCTTTCTGAGGAGATGACTTTCGAGCTGATGGAACCTGTCTTGGGATCAGAACAGGGGGCAGGGCTGTTCTGCGCAGAGGGAACAGGAGGCCCAAAGGCCCCGGGGGGAATGTGTTGTGTTGTTGGAACAACTGTTGGAGACGTGTGTGCCCAAAGGAATAGGTTGGGAATGATTTTTGGGCTCAGCTGGTAAGGAATTGGCAAAATCTTGCATTTTATTCTAAGTAAGTGGGTTGGGAAGGCAGAAGAGAGGGCTCTGAAGTGTCTACACGTTCCCTCTGGCTGTGTGTGGGGGCAGACTGTGGGGCGGATGGTAGCCAGAGTGTAGGGGTCATGGAGATTGACAAGTGGAGCAAAGGTCAGGTTTGGGACTGTCTTGCAGTTGGAGCCCCAGAATTGCTGCAGCTCAGGAACCACTAGCAGCACTGACTCGATTGCTCAAACCAAAACCTGACTGCCAGGCTGTCTGGCATATGGTGAAAGGCATGACCTTGGCAAGTGACTTAAATTCCCGTGCCTCAGTTTTCCCATAAAGTGGAGATAGTAAGAGGACCCACAACCATAGGGTTGTTGTGAGGGAAAAGTGAGTAGTAAAGATTAACTTTTATTTCACCATCCCTTGCTGAGCCCTAGGTGAGTTGCTTTCTCTACTGCGGTGGTTTGAGGGTTCAAATAGGCTGACCTAGGTTCTCATGTCTAGCTGGGACAGTGGAGGCTACATGAGCCTCCTCACACCTCCCACTAGGGATCGACCTCGTGGACATGGCTTCAGACCTCCTTCAGCCTCATGGAGATGACGTGGCTCGCATAAGCTGGTATCTGCGTAACCTCATCTCCAGATACCAAGAGACCTTCAGCGTCATCGAGAAGGTGACTGGGGGCTGGGAAGGCACGCCTTCTGTCCGTCTCTCCTGGGCCAGCCCTGACCCCGCCCCTCTCATTTGCTTCTAGTGCCCCAAACCCGTGATTGCAGCCATCCACGGGGGCTGCATTGGCGGAGGTGAGTCTACAACCCCCATCCGGGAACTCATTCTGGTGTGTGCCTATTGGCTGCTGCCTTTCTGCCTCAGCCAATGGCCTCCAGCCTCAGATCTGTGGCTAGTTGGATTTTGTACCAAACTGCAACCCCCTGGGCTTAGGTGGAGGGTTGGTCCTTAAGGTTGTTTAGCGCCCAGGGCTTCTACCTCCCAGGTGTGGACCTCGTCACCGCCTGTGACATCCGGTACTGTGCCCAGGATGCTTTCTTTCAGGTGAAGGTGAGTCATCCTGCCGAGCTTCTGCAGAGTGGCAGGGGCAAGGCAGAGCAGCGGCAGTCCGGCTGAGGAGGTGGGAGTGAGGAGGGAGGGCCTGGAACGAGCTCAGACGGCTCCATGGAAGAGCTCATCAGAAATGACCCTTAAGAAGGAAGCTTGGTCTGGAGGAATTAAAGGGTAGGACATGCAGTCCAGGTGAGGTCAGGAGTGGGTAAAGAATGGGGACGGGGCAGGCTGGGGACGCGGCGTTGTGGAGTCAGAGCCTCAGAGGTGGGAGGCAGGATGGAGCCCATTGGTGCAGTAACAGGGTGAACCAAGCACGGGTAGGTTAAGAAGCACTTCATGCTGGAGAGAGACGTGGTAGACTCGGAAGAATTGAGATGGCCAAGGAATTGGAAGGTGGACTCTGCCTGAAGGGATCTCCTTTGGGAAAGAAATGGAATGGAGTATTGAGGGGAGGAGCTTTGAGTGAGACTCTGAGTTTCACTGGCAGAGACCAAGAACTAATGGGATTGCTCCCGCAGGAGGTGGATGTGGGTTTGGCTGCTGATGTGGGAACGCTGCAGCGTCTGCCCAGAGTCATCGGGAATCAGAGGTGGGTAGGGAAACCTGGGGAAAGGGACCGAAGGGCATCTCCGGACCTGGGATGACCACTGGCCCCGATAACCCGGCCCTCCTGCAGCCTCGTCAACGAGCTGGCCTTCACCGCCCGCAAGATGATGGCCGACGAGGCCCTGAGCAGCGGGCTGGTCAGGTAGGCTGCGCGGTGCTGGCGAAGAGCTCAGGGCCAGCCAGGCCTGGGTGGGGCTCTCTGGGTCCCTGTGAATTCTTATTCATGGATTGCACGGGGCTTCCTCTCTCTGAGTGGTCAGTTCTTTATTCTGGAGTGTCGTGCCCGGATTGGTTCATTTCATGGGAGGCGGGGGGGGGGGGGTGTCTGCTTTCTACTGTGATTGTCCACTTCTAATTTGGGAGGGAAGGAAGAGAACCCTTCTCAGACCCCCGATTCCAGAAGCCCTTCATTTGCAGCCGAATATTCCCAGACAAGGATGTCATGCTGGATGCAGCCTTCAACCTGGCGGCGGCGATTTCCAGCAAGAGCCCCGTGGCAGTTCAGGGCACCAAAATCAACCTGCTCTACTCCCGCGACCATTCAGTGGCCGAGGGCCTCAATTTCATGGTAATGCTCTCCATCTGGCCAATCACAACCCTTCTCTCATCCCAGAACAACCAATCAGAGCTCAGCGGCCTCTGCAGGCCCTTTCCTCTGATTGGTGTGCTGCTATGTCCCCGTTTTTTATTGGTCCAACTCCAGTCTTGCCCTATCCTTCCATTATTCTCTGCCTTCTCTATCTAGTCATCCTGGAACATGAGCATGCTGCAAACCCAGGACATCGTTAAGTCTGTCCAGGCAGCCATGGAGAAGAAGGAACTGAAGAGCATCACCTTCTCCAAGCTCTGAGAGCCCCCCATCTAGGGCCTGGCCTGGCGTCTGGCATGTGTTTCCTCATCTCCAGAGGGAGAATTAGTAAAGATGGTCACCTTGCTGCCTTCTCACCCAGCCTCCCAGTTTGTAACTCATGTCCCACGAACAATAAAGCAAAGTCAAGAGCCTGGTGTCCTTGTTGAGATGGGAGATGGGAAGGAGATGAGATGCACAGTTGGCAGTTGTGCTGAAGGTTGGGCCAATGGGAATGGGAGCCAGGCAGAGCCGGCGGTGGGCAGGGCCAAAGAAAGCCTGGCATGGATGGAGCAAGCAGGGGTGCAGCTCGAGGGCAGTGTTCACCCTGCCTGACCCCCTCTTACTGCTTAATGGGACCTGGCGCTGAAGTCTGGTGAGGGTGCCATTGCTATCTAGCCAACTGCCTCTTTTCTTTAAGTTTTAGGTTTTTTCATTCAGCCTATCTAATAAAGAGGGAATATGCTAATGGACTGTCACACCCTCACAAAGATGGTGGCGCCTACAGCCCTGCCTGGGTGGGCGATTAGGCTGGCAGGGGGGAGCAGTGAGTGGTGACTAGGCTGAAGGGAGAGGTAGTGGGAGTGACCAGGCTGGGCCCACCCCCAGGCGGGTCCCACTGCTCCGTATGCCTGCCTCCAGAGTCCCCAGTCCCCTCAGCACCCCCAGCTGCTCAGGGCAGGCCCAAGGCACAGGCAAGCCTCAGATGTCAATTGCTTAACCCAGGACTGGCCTGAGGGATGACCAAATGACTGAACAAGCAGGCTGTGTGGGCCGACCAGGCTGTGAGGGGTGAGGGGTGTGGGGGGCTGTGAGGGGTGACCAGGCTGGCAGGGGGGCAGTTGGGGTGTCAAGGCCAGCAATGGGGGGGGCTGTTTGGGGTGACCAGGTAAATGGGGGGTGCAGTTGGGGGCAACCAGACTGGCAAGGGGGGAAGTTGAGGGCGATTAGGCTGGCAGGGGGGAGCAGTGAGTGGTGACTAGGCTGAAGGGAGAGGTAGTGGGAGTGACCAGGCCAGCAGGAGAGGCAGTTAGGGGCAACCAGGCCTGCAGAGGGGGGTAGTTGGGGCGACCAGGCTGGCTGGGGAGGCAGTTAGGGGTTCCTGGCTGGCAGGGTGGAGGCGCAGTTGGGGGTTCCTGGCCAGTGGGGTGGGGGAGGGCAGTTAGGGATGACCAGGCAGGTAAACATGAGCAGTTAGGAGCCAGCAGTCCAGGATTGTGAGAGGGATGTCTGACTGCTGGTCTAGACAGGCAGTCGGACATCCCCCGAGGGGTTCTGCATTGGAGAGGGTGCAGGCTGGACTGAGGGGAGTCCCCCCCTTTCTGTGCACAAATTTCGTGCACCGGGCCTCTAGTATACATGTAATTCCACTGTCCTGGATTTATGTTGGGAATGAGTACAAGAGACCAAACATTAATTTAGTGCCTTCTATATACTAAGTCTTGTTCTGAGCCTTTATTAACTTAGCGATTACTTTAAGGACCTGTGAAGTTGATACTGTTAATATCCCCACTTTATGGATGATCAAATGAACAAATTGAGGTTAGGGCACTGACCCAAGATTACATAGCCAGGAAGTGGCTGAGGCAGGGTTTGCACCCAGAACCTCTGGCTGCAGAAGTCAGTTATCTAACTCACCGTGTGTACAAGAGAGAGTCATGGTAAAGGCATGTAGTAGGCACACAATCAATTCAGGTCCTTTCCCAGCACCCAGTCCCTCCCGCCCTTCACTTCCTCCCATTGCCCACCTGTCCTGGGCCACTCCTGCAGCCCTGCCCAATCCAACCTCCCTGCCCTTTCCCTCCCTCTGCTAACAAAGGTCCAGGTAGTTTTATGGCCTCTGATAAGGCACTGGCAGGGCCAAGGTTCACTAACACTTTCTCTTTGCAGAAGGTTCTAGAGGAGGGGTTTCTGACCTGAGCCCCCCCCAGGCCTGCCCAATGACCCGGGTTCTGACAGGTTACCACCGAGGCTGGTGAGAGAAGGGAGACCAGAGGGTACGTTAGAAGAAGATGTGAGCCTGGGATGCTCAGAAGAGGGACCCCATGAACCCTGCCCTGCCCGCCACTCCCTTTTCCGCAGGCATAAAAGCCAGCTGCCACCCAGGATCTGCCACCATTTCCTACTCTGCGCTCTTCTCACAGGACGAGCCACCAGCCCAGCCTCTCAAGATGGCCTTTGTCCCTGCACCCGGCTACCAGCCCACCTACAACCCGGTGAGATCCAGGCCCGGGCCTTCACCCAGGCCCGCTTAGCTCCACCCTGGCCCCGGGCACAAATTTACTCTCACCCTGAACTTCAGAGGCACCCACCGTGCCTCTGGGTCTGATTTACTTAATACTGACCCTGGGGACCCACCTGTCAGGCTCCTATGTCCCACCAAACTGTCAGCCCTCTTCATCTTCATGCTGAGCCCTCACCCCTCAGTTCCCTCCCCCTTGCTTAAGGGAATACGGGGGTGTGGGGGTTACTTCTCACTGAGGGGGAAAGGCTTCAATAAGCAGATGCCCTCCAAGGCCCCTCACCCAGCCCCTTCTACAGACTCTGCCCTACAACAAGCCCATCCCTGGAGGTCTCAGCATGGGGATGTCCGTTTACATCCAAGGAGTGGCTAGCGAGCATATGAAAAGGTAAGACCCTCCCCAGGCCAGGCTGGGAGGGGGGCTATTAACAGGGGGCTTCTGGTCTTCTGACCTTCCTCTACCCTGGTTGGGGAGGGGCTCTGGGGCACCACCCCTGAGGAGTAAAGACCAGCCCTGATCTGGGGAGTCCAGGGCTTGGAGAGCAGATCAGGCAGAGAGTCCGAGGGGCTGGGAGGCGGCTGGAAGGTTCCCCATAAGAGGTGGCCCCAGAGTTGGGCTGCTGAATTGGAATTGATGGGTGCGACAGCATGAACGAAAATCACAGGCTGGTTTGGCTTGGTGCTGTGGTCAGCAAACTGCGGCTCTTGAGCCACATGCGGCTCTTTGGCTCCTGGAGTGTGGCTCTTCTACAAAATACCACGGCCTGGGCGAGTCTATTTTGAAGAAGTAGTGTTAGAAGAAGTTTAAGTTTAAAAAAATTGGGCTCTCCAGCCAGGCCCGGAACAGCTTGCTCCTCACCTACCCCTGCCCCACGGCTGCCTCTCAGACATGGCTGGAAACTTTTGCAGGAACTTGAGGGTCTGCTGAATCAAGTGATGAAGGCTTAGATCTGGATGTGTTGAGTTAGTATAGCGCTGGGGTGTTGATCTGTGAGTGCCTTGTGCGGGGCCTGGATGAGGTTGGTTGACCTATTTGGAAATGTCTTTTGTGTGAAGTGTATCTTTGGGCATGTGGAGGTATTATTGATATGAGAAAATGCTAAGTAACTGATTTACTATCTGAAAAGGGATTTACTATCGGGGAAAGGGAGGGAGGAAGAGACTGAACATAAACTGTGCACCTATGGATGAGGACAATGGGGGAGGGGAAGGGTGTGGAGGGGGGAAGAAATGAGGAACCTTGGTAATAATATGAACAATAAAGATTGATTTTAAAAAATTTAAAAAATTAAAAAAAATAAAGAACGTCCTTCAAGAATCCAGGAAGAAAAAAAAATTGGGCTCTCCAAAGAAATTTCAATCGTTGTACTGTTGATATTTGGCTCTGTTGACTAATGAATGAGTTTGCCGACCACTGGCCTAGTGGATACGGCATTGGCCTGTGGACTGAAGGGTCCTGGGTTTTGATTCTGGTCAAGGGCACATGCTGGGGTGGTGGGCCCGATTCCCAATAGGGGGCGTGCAAGAGACAGCTGATCAATGATTCTCATTATTGATGTTTCTATCTCCCTCTTCTTTCTCCCTTCCTTTCTGAAATCAATAAAAATATATTTTAAACATATATAAATAAATAAGTTAAAAATAAGTAATAAAATAAATACATAATAGCCCTAGCTGGTTTGACTCAGTGGATAGAGCGTTGGCTTGCAAACTGAAGGGTCCCGGGTTCTATTCCAGTAGGGAGTGTACAGGAGGCAGCCGATCAATGAATTCTCTCTATCTTGATGTTTCTCTCTCCCTCTTCCTTCATCTCTGAAATTAATAAAAATATATGTAAAAAAAACACATAATAAAATGTCAGATGGTTACAAATGCTATAGAGGTAAATGAGGGAAGGCGATCTGGAATGGAAGTGGGGGAGGGGCGCTGCACTGTCCCTTTAAATAGGGCGGCCAGGGAAGGCTCCCTGGGAAGGGAACATCTCAGCAAAGCCCTGATGGAGCCGGGGACATTGCGGGAAGGGCATTCTAGGCAGAAAGAAGGGCCAGTGCAGGCCCTGAGACCAGGCGGCCTGGATGGGATAACTTTGGGGATGCTGGTGTGAGGGGAGTGCTCTCACTCGGGCGTTCACCGGGTCCCCTTGGGTGCAGTGGGCATGGCCGACAGGGCCGGGGAGGGCGGGAGGGGCTGCATGGACAGAAGAGGGCTCCTAGGGCGTGTAGGTGAGTGCAGGAATCCCAGCGCAGGCCTGTTTGAGGGGTTGGAGGAGGAAATAGGTGGGTACAGGGTGAAGGGGGTCCATGGGAAAAAAGGGGAACACCTGTAATCCTTTCAACAATAAAGATAATTTTTTAAAAAGTAAAGGGAGCCGAAACCGGTTTGGCTCAATGGATAGAGCTTGGGAACTGGGGGGTCCCAGGTTTGATTCCGGTCAAGGGCATGTACCTTGGTTGCGGGCATATCCCCAGTGGGGGGTGTGCAAGAGGCAGCTGATCAATGACTCTCTCTCATTGATGTTTCTAACTCTCTATCTCTCTCCCTTACTCTCTATACAAAATCAATAAAATATATTAAAAAAAAAAAAAAAAGTAAAGGGAAAAGAAGCAATGAGGGGGTGGAGGTGGGAGTCTGCTCCTGGAACTCGGGCACAGCCACCCTCCTGTCTTGCGTTGGCAGTGCCCAGGCCACCGTGGGAACCTGGCACAGGGGGGCAGAGGGCTCCCGGGCTGGCGGTGGGGCCAGGGGAACAACTCCGCCTGCCCCCAGGTTCTTCGTGAACTTCGTGGTGGGACAGGGCCCCGGGGCCGACATCGCCTTCCACTTCAACCCCCGGTTCGACGGCTGGGACAAGGTGGTCTTCAACACGCAGCAGGGCGGCAAGTGGGGCAGCGAGGAGAAGAAGAGGAGCATGCCCTTCCGCAAGGGCACCCCCTTCGAGCTGGTGTTCATGATCCTGCCCGAGCACTACAAGGTGGGCAGTTCGGTCGGCCTCTCCTCTCCCTCCCCTCCCCTTCCTCCCTCTCCCCCTCCCCCTCCCCCTTCCCTTTCCCTCCCTCCCCCTTTCCTTCCCCTCCCTCCTTCTCCCTCTTTCCTCCCTCCCCTCCCCTTCCCCCTTCCCTCTCACCCCCTCCCCCTAACCTCCCTACTCCTCTCCTTCCTCCTCCTCCTTTCCCCTTCCCCCACCCCTCCCCTTTCCTCCTTCCCTCTCCTTCCTCCCCCCTCCCCTTCCCACCCCTACCCTCCCCCTCCCCTTCCTCCCTTCCCTCTCCTTCCCCCACCCTACCCTCCCCCTCCCCCTGTTGCTTCCCCTCCCCCTTTCCCTTCTCCTCCCCTCCCTTCCCCTCCCCCTCCCCTCCCTACCCCTCTCTTCCTCTCCTGCTTTCCCCCTCCGCTCCCTACCCCTCTCCTCTCCTGCTTTCCCCCTCCCCTCCCTTTTCTCCCCCTCCCCCTCCCCTCCCTACACCTCTCCTCCCTCCTCTTCCCTTCCCCCTCCCTCTACCCTCCCCTCCTCCTCTTTCCCTCTTCCCTCCTCCTCCCTCCACTCCCTTCTGTCCCCTCCCATTTCCCCTCCCCTCTCTCTTTCCCTCCTTACTTTCCTCTCTTCTTTTTTCTCTTCCCCTTCCCTCCTCCCTTCCTACAGAGCTTTTCCCTTTTCCTTCTTTCCTGCCTATTAAAAAATGTCTCTTTTATCGCCTTTTCTCACCCCATTCCTCCACTGAGGAGAGGCTTCTGTTCAGTGTATACCGTCTGTTCCTATGTGTTCTCGTGAGAGGTGTATTTTGCTATTTGTATGGAGACTAAACACACACACAGGAAGCACCGAGTGCTGTGAAGCGGACTCCTTGGTCAGCACTCGGCTTTCACCCTTACCTCACACTTCCCCTCCCAAAGGACTTCAAAACAAGCCCAGATATCATGCATTTCATTCACAAGCATTTTGGTGTTTATACACAGGCATGTGGTCATGCTCACACCTAAGAAAGAACATTGTCCTTGCTTAGTGTCACCACAGAGCCTTAAGACCTGTTTGCTGTTTTCTACAGTTTGCTTGAATCAGGGTCCAAAGGAGACTCACACATTGAGACTAGTTGCTATTGGGCAAGTATTTTTTATTTGTTAGTGACCTGTGACCCAGGTACAAAAAAGTGCCCGCCTTGGATACACAGCTCAGATGACTTTTCACAAAGAGAGGCACCCATGTAGCCAGTGCCTGGGCCTAAAACAAAACGCCTCTCGCCCCCAAAGCCCCTCCAGACTCCCCCAGTGCCCTCGCCCCCACAGGGGCCTTTATCCTGTCTTTTCTCAGCCTGGATCTATTGCCTGTCTTTGTTTTTTAAGTATGTGAGGCCTCGGTGCTCTGCTGTATGACTGTGTAGGACTCCTGGCGGACACGTTCCAAGTCCCCCTGTCCCTGCTCTGACTCCCCACGATGGCACTGTGCACATGCATCCCATGTGGTCCATGGAGAGTCCCCGGGGGGAACTGCAGGGCTGGGCACCCCCTGGCCTTACCCGCCCTAACATGGCACCAGATGTCTAACGTCGTTTCTGGAGGTTAGCACCCCGGTTTGAGGTTGAGCCTGGGCTTTGCCACTCCCGTGTGTGACCTTGAGCTGGTCACTCTATGCACTGGGGCCTCTGGTTCCTTAAACAACAAGGACCACCCCTTATCCTGCCTCACGGAGCTGCTGAGAGCATCACCATGTTGCTATCACTATGGAAAGTGCTTGGCATGTAGGAAGCACTCAGTCCTGGGGAGCTGGCTCTCGGCCTCAGGGTCATTGCTCAGCACTCTGACGAGAGCCTCATGCTGAGATATGATTACAAGGCAAGGCCCTACATGGACTGGCACAGTGCCTCTGACATGCTTTGACATGGCTTCTAACCTTCCCAACAATCCCAGAGTGAGCCCCATGTTACAGATGAGGAAATAAAGTCTCAGAGAGGTGAACTGGTTTATCTGAGGTCTCACAGCTAAGACATGTCAGAGCGAGACCTCCAACCCAACTCATTTGGTGCTTAAACCAGGGCTCAGCCTCGGGTCTCTCCTGATTTGCATCCCCAGACTAAATTCTATGTTCTCTCCTATTCATAAATCTGTGAGCTGCCTTTTGACTCTAGCTTGACCTCTGACCTGTGGACTCCCAGGTTCCTGACTTTGAGGGTATCCCAGCTCACCCTAAGACTTTTGACCCCAAGTTAAAAAGACCCCTGTTCCCTGCTTCCTATCTCTACCTGTCCCAGGCGGGGACGTTGCCTCTAACCTCACCCCGCCCTCTAGGTGGTGGTAAACGGAAGTCCATTCTATGAGTTTGGGCACCGGATCCCCGTGCAGATGGTCACTCACCTGCAAGTGGATGGGGACCTGGAGCTTCAATCAATCAATTTCATCGGAGGCCAGCCGGCCCCAAGCCAGGTGGGTAGGGTCCCCTCTCTTATTTGCTTCCTTTTTTGTTTTATTTTAAATTTATTGATTTGAGAGAGAGAGAGAGAGAGAGAGAGAGAGAGAGAGAGACTTGTTCCATTTATTTATGCATTCATCGGTTGATTCTTATATATGCCTTGTCCAGGGATCAAACCTACAACTTTGGCATATCAGAAAGACTGAGCCACTCGGCTACTCGGCTACCAACTGAGCTACTGGCCTGGGCTGCTTCCTTCTTTAATTAATTCATTCCTACATTCCTTTATTTCCTGGCACCCTTTGTGGGTGATAGCATGGACCCAGAGGACCAGACAGTCTACTATGTCACCAAGTGGTGCTGGCCACAAGTGGTCAGGGCGGAGATGGGGGAGGTGCAGGAGCTTTGGGCGTCTTAATGAAGGACTTCCTACAGAAGGAGGAAGTGTGTAGTTGAGTCAGGAAGTGAAGATAAGGAGAAACAAAAACCACAGGAATAGCAAACAAGTTGATTAGAATTCTCCTAACATCATTGGTCACTCAGAACCTCAGTGAAAATCAACATGAGCCACCACTGCGCCCCGAGGAGCCACACTGAGAACGGACACAATACCGTCGCTGGTGGGGCTGTGGGCTGGCGACACTCCCGGTCCTTGGAAAAGACTGGGCAGCATCTGTGATGGCTGACCAGACACTTACCCAACGACTTAGAGACCCCACTCCTGCCACCAGAACCAGCGGGGAAGCCCGAACTCGGGCCTCATGCTCCCAGCCAGTACCTCCGTGGGAAAGTGGTCTGATGACCAGCAGCTCCATTTACAGATGTGGGCCTGAGGCACAGAGAGCTGCAGTAAACTTGCCCCAGGTCATGGACCAGCAAATGGCAGAGCCATGGGGTCCATGCTCAGACTGCTGCTCTGCCCCCTGATGAAGCAACAGCGGAATGTCTTACCTGTAAGGTGGTCATGGGCCATCGTGCTTCATCAATGCATTTTGGGAAGAAAACTAAATAACGCCTTCAGAAAAGGGCCTTTAGAATAGCTGGCTTAAAATGGAAGTTAGGCAGAGAGATTATTAGAAAGAAGAGGAAATAGAGAGAGTTAATAAAAGTAAACCAGGGAAGGGAAAGGTGTTTCAGGCAGAAGGAACCACCTGAGAGAAGGAGTGGACAAGAGACAGCAACAGAAACAGAGAAACATACAGGGAGATACAAGACTGAGCCTGAGACAGAACAGGCTGGTCCCGGCAGTGGGCATGTGAGTGAGGGGCTTGGTGGTGGGGATGAGGTGAGCACTGGGATTGAATGGGCCTGGGAGGTATGTACACTGCATTGTGCTGCTTCTGGATTTGGGAGACCAGCGGGAAGCCAGGGTAGGAGAGGGTTCAAGAACAGAATTTACCAGGTTTTCCCAAAGCGGTGGAGTGACAGTCCCTCTGCACTGGGCCCTCTCCGTCAGTGAGCCATTTAGTGCCACCCTGACTCCAGATCCTCTTGGGTGGTGGTGGTGGGCAGGCATCCTGACATTCTCCAAGTCTTTGTTCAGAGTCCCTCTCATCACCTCCTTTTCCCTCTGCCCACAGACCCCCATGGTTACTCCAGCATATCCAGTAAGTACTGGCTGGTAGATGACACTTTTTCCCTTGACATGGGGGTTTGTGGTTGAGGAGGTCCTAGGGAGGGGGCCCTGGTCTTTTCACCGTTCCTACCTTTTTCTATTCCTGTAGGGTCCTGGATACAAGCCTCCGCCAACTAACCTGCCTGTAAGTGGGCGGGCTGTATGGCAATGTGGTGGGGGAGTGGTGAGAACTGGGGGGGGGGGGGTCATAGAGTTTGGATCTCTAGGAGTATCAATCCACCAATCCAGTACCCAGCAATATGCTACATGTTGTATGTGTGTTGTCAATATTTGTCAAATATTATAGAATAATAGCTCTTCTTTCTCCTTCACAGACCATGGAGGGACCCCCAACCTTCAACCCGGTAAGAAGCCCTGCAGTTAGGGCTTTATGGTGGGCAGTTTGTGGAGAAGCAGGAATCTGATCCACAGGGAGCCCCAAGAGGGCAAAGTGTTTGGGGGACAGGAAGTGGGGGAAAGGAGGAGTTGGTGGTCCGAGTGGGGCAGGGGACAGGAGTTGGGGACATTCCCCAGGACTTGCAGGAGCCTCTCTGAAAATGTGTCCTTGCATCTGGCTTCTGGTGATCTGAGAGATGATGGGACCCGTGTTCTCTGTTTATAGCCTGTGCCATTTATGGGAAGACTGCAAGGGGGGCTTACAGCCCGAAAAACCATCATAGTCAAGGGCTACGTGCCTCCCACAGGCAAGAGGTACAGAACTGAGGCTGAGGTGGGAGTCCCCAGCTTCCCTTCTCCCTCTGACCCAGGAGTCCCTTGAGGGGCCAGGTGCTGGCCACCTCCTGACTCTCATCTCCCTCTCTGTCCCCAGCTTTGCCATCAACTTCAAGGTGGGGTCCTCCGGGGACCTGGCTCTCCACATTAACCCCCGTCTGATGGAGGACACCGTGGTTCGGAACAGCTATCTGAATGGCTCATGGGGATCTGAGGAGAAGAAGATCTCCTACAACCCATTTGTTCGAGGCCAGTTCTTTGATGTGAGTCTGGCTTTCTTTCTCACTTCCGTCCAACGCCTCTGTCCTGGCCATAGCCTCACACCTGCCCCTTTCCCTGCAGCTGTCCATTCGCTGTGGCATCGATCGCTTCAAGGTTTACGGCAATGGCCAGCACCTCTTCGACTTCTCCCATCGCCTTTCAGCCTTCCAGAGGGTGGACACTCTGGAGATTGAGGGTGATGTTACCTTGTCCTATGTCCAGATCTAATCTATTCCTGGGAACACACAAAGACCCCATAAGGCTCAATTTTAAGCTCCTAATAAACTATCTGAGGGTGTCTAATGAGTGTCCATGACTCCATTCACCGCCCGCCCCCACCCCCACATACTGTTCCTTTATTCCTTGAATCAGTCGTGCACTGTCCATTGAGCCATCCAATTATCGGTCCATCCATTCTCCCATCATAATAAATCTAGGTACTCTACCCCTACACAAACACTGATCTTGGGGACTTATGTGTATCAAACCATTCATTCTTCACAGCAATTATAATCCAAAATCAAGAATGAACACAAGCCCAGCCAGTGTGGCTCAGTGGTTGAGTGTCGGCCTATGAACCAGTTGGTCACGGTTCAATTCCTGGTCAGGGCACATGCCCAGGTTGTGGGTTCAATCCCCAGTGTGTGGTGTGCGGAAGGCATTTGATCAATGATTCTCTCTCATTATTGATGTCTATATCTTTCTCTCCCTCTCCCTTCCTCTTTGAAATCAATAAATACATATTAAAAAAAAAGATATAAGTACAACCAATGGACATAAAACTCTGGGGAGGGAGGGGATGTTTGGGAGGGAGGGAGGGGGGTTAAAAAAATCAATAAAATATGAAAGAAAGAAAGAAAGAAAGAAAGAAAGAAAGAAAGAAAGAAAGAAAGAAAGAAAGAATACCACTAGCCCTAGTCAGGTGGCTCAGTTGGTTGAGATATCATCCCTACATCAAGAAGATTGCAGGTTTGATTCCTGGTCAGGGAATGTAACTGGATTGAGGGTTCAATTTCTGATTAGGGCACATATGGAAGATAATTGATCAGTGTTTCTTTCTCACATCAATGTTTCTCTCTTTCCCCTTTGCTCTCTCTAAAATGAATTAAAAAAAACAACATATCCTCAGGTGAGAATTAAAAATAAACAAATAAAGACCACTAATGACTCTACATAAAACACAAAGGATTATAAGGGAATATTATGAAAAAGTTTAGGCCAACAAATTTGGCAACTTAAATGAGGGGAATAAATTCCTCGAAAGTTAGAAATTATCTAAACTGACTAGAGGAGAAACCAAGATGGCAGCATAGGTAAATGCCTACCTGCAGCCTCACACAACAATTTCAAAAAAATACAACTAAAATACAAAATGGACATTATCCAGAACTACAGGAAAGTTGACTGACTGGAAATTATACAACTAGAAGGAAAGAGAAAACCAGAAGGAAAATCAGAGGAGCTGTAAAAGCCTAAGGTATGGAGACATAGTGAGCGCGTGCGGAGAGGATGGAGCCGAAGAGGAGGGGGCAGCGGAGTGCCCAGCTGGTGTTCCCTAGCGAGAAGGAGACAAAAGCTCTGGACTGTGCTGAACCCAGTTCTGACTGCACTGAACCCCAGTTCTGGGCGAGACTCCGGGGACCCAGGCTCATACAGAGGGATTCTAGGCTATAAGGCAGAAACTCAGGGGAGTGGCAAAAGGCAGAGCCCCGGAGGCGCACATATTGTACACAGAGGATGAACTGTTGACTGTGCCGCTGGATTGTCCTAGCGGGAAGGAGTCAAAAGCTCTGGACTGCACTGAACCCCACTTCCAACTGCACTGAACCCCAATTCTGGGCTCATTGGGGGAGAGACTAGACTGTCTGCTAGTAGGCGAAACTCAAAGGCACCTTTCTCTCAGAGATGCTTGCAGCGAGTACTAAAGCAGTGAGTACCAAGGGACACTGAGACTCAGGAACTTCATAGGGCAGGGCTGACAGGAAGCCAAGGCTGTAGGCTCCACTCTGAAACTCCGCCCCATCCAAACTGAGCACAGAGGCTTTTGTAATTTTCCAAGTCTAGTTGAATAAGGCTGTCTCCTGGCATAGACACAGCTGATCCTCACAACCAATTGGCCTGGAGGTCAGTTCCTCCCAGTGATACCAACAACAATCAAGACTTAACTACAATAAGGCTGTACACACACTCCACAAGGGTGCACCAAGAGTGTCCACCTCAGGTAAGTGGGAGGTTGACTCACTGATCCATATAGGACACCTTAACACACAAAGCCACCCTACCAACTCAGGGAAGCAGCGAAAATGCCAAGACAAGGAAACAGATCAAGAACAAAAGAAATGGAGGACAAAAAGAGACTGGATATAGAGTTCAAAATCACGCTTATAAGGTTTTTCAAGAATTTCCTAGAAAAGGCCAATAAAATAAACAAGACCTATGAAGATATGAAAAGGGATCAATTAAAAATAATAAAGGATCAACTGAAATAAAGAAAACATTGTCTGAAATAAAAAATATTATACAGAGTCCTAAAAAAAGAATGGAAGATTGCAAGAATCAAGTCAAAGATTTAGAATACAAAGAGCCAGAGGACACTCTTCCACAGAAGCAAGAAGACAAGAGAATCCAGAAAGTTGAAGATAGTGTAAGAAACCTCTGGGACAACTTCAAGCGAACCAACATCAGAATTATGGGGGTCCCAGAAGAAGAGAGAGAGCAAGATACCAAAAACGTATTGAAAGAAATAGTGACAGAAAACTTTCCCCACCTGGTGAGGGAAATAGACTTATAAGTCCAGGAAGCATACAGAACCCCAAACAAAAGGAACCCAAAGAGGACCACACCAAGACACATCATAATTAAAATTCCAAGAACAAAAGACAAAGAGAGAATATTAAAAGAAGCAAGAGCAAAGCAGGTAGTTACACATAAAGGAGCACCTATACGATTGTCAGCTGATTTCTCTACAGAAACCATGCAGGCCAGATGGGAATGGCAAGAAATATTCAAGGTGATGAATAACAAGAACCTACAGCCAAAAATACTCTACCCAGCAAAGCTATCACTCAGAATTGAAGGCCAGATAACGAGCTTCACAAATAAAAAAAAGCTAAATGAGTTCATCACTGCCAAACCAGAATTATATGAATTGCTGAAGGGGGTTCTTTAGGAAGAGAAAGTAAATAAAGATAAAAATTATGAACAACAAATATGTAACTATCAACAAGTGAATCTAAAAACCAAGGAAATTAAAACAAAACAAAACAAAACAAAAAACCCTGATGAACAATATTAACTGTTGAAGTTAATAGAATCAGAGGTATGGAAGGGGAGTGGACTGATGATTCTCGGGGAAAAGAGGAGTGGGGGGTGTGGGAAGAGACTGAACATAAACTGTGCACCTATGGATGAGGACAGTGGGGTGTGAGGAAAGGGCAAAGGGTGGGGTGGGAACCTGGTTGAGGGGGAAAATATGAGGAACTTTTGTAATAATATGAACAATAAAGATTTATTTATAAAAATAACAAAAAAAATAAAAAAATATATTTTTATTGATTTCAAAGAGGAAGAGAGGGAGAGAGAGAGATAGAATCAGTGATGGGAGGGAATCGTTGGCTGTCTCCTGCACGCCCCTTCTGGGTATTGAGACCACGGGAATGTGCATTTGACCTGGAATCAAACCCAGGACCCTTCAGTCTGCAGGCTGACACTCTATCCACTGAGCCAGACCAGCTAGGGCATCGTTGGCTGACTCTTGTATGTGACCTAACTGAGGATCAAACCCAAATCCTTGGCATATCATTATGATGTTCTAACCAACCAAGCCAGAACAAGATTTCTTAAATGGGACACAAAAGTACAAGCCATCCTACCTAATAAAAGAGTAATATGCAAATTAACCATCACTCCACTACACCCACAAGTCACACCCCCTAGCCAATCAGAGCGAGTATGCAAATAAACCCAATCAAGATTGCTACATCCACAGAGAGCAGAAGGGAGGCTTGGGTTTCCAATGCAATGGAGGGAGCCAAAATTTCCACCTGCCCTTGCCAGCCTAAGCCTCCACTCAAGGATACAAAGTTTCAATTATAGAAGGTAAACAAATCCAAAGAGAAATGGCAGCAGTCACAGAGCTGGAAAGAGCGGTAGGCTAGGGTTGCCCCTGGCAATGGAGGAAGCAAAGCTTTTTGCACATCCTGGCCAGCCCAGGCCTCCACTCCAGGCTACAAAGTTTCAATTATAGAAGATACATAAATTCCAACAGAAATGGCTCCTAGCCACGGAGCAAGCACGAAGCTTGGCTCCGCTCCAGGCTACAAAATTTCTATTGTAGATGGTAAGTAAATTCCAGATACCAGGTCCTCCACTTAGGTCACCAGGGTTGTGGCTGACCTGCAAACCACCATAGACCCCTCGCTCAGGCTGCCCCACACCCCAAGGGAACCCCCACCCTGATCCAAGACACCTTTCAGGGCAAACCAGCTGGCCCCCACCTGTGAGCCAGGCCTCTATCCTATCTAATAAGAGTAATATGCAGATTGACCATCACTCCAACACACAATATGGCTGCCCCCATGTGGTCAAAGATCCTGCTCCTATGTGGACATAAGATGGCCACCACAAGATGACCAGGGGAGGGCAGTTGGAAGGGACCAGGCCTGCAAGGGAGGGCAGTTGTTAGGGGCAATCAGGAAGGCAGGCAGGTGAGCAGTTGGGAGCCAGTAGTCCCGGATTGTGAGAGGGATGTCCCAGATTGGAGAGTGTGCATACTGGGCTGAGGGACACCGCCCTCTAGCCCCCATGCATGAATTTTGTGCATTAGTAATAGATAATTTTGATAAAATGGCACTTCAGAACAATTAAAAACGTCTACTCTGAGAACCAAACTGTTAAGATAATGAAAAGGCTCACCATAGATGAAGAAAAAATATTCACAATACTTACATTTGACAAAGGAAAATATCCAGAAAATTACAGACCTCTTGTCTGATCCTCCCCAAAATAACCATGTTTGGAGATTAAAAATGACAGTGGAATAAGTAGATGTAACACAGACAGGCTCCCAGAACCAAACTGGAAATTACAACTAAAATACAAAGAAAACACCTTGAATAAAGAACTGAAGACTCGCTGGAGAGAAGCCTAATAAACAAGGACTAATGTGGAGACTGCAAAGAGACTGGTAGGAACGTTGGAGGCATTGAAAGGGCTGGCCAGCCTCCCAC